GGCGGGTCACCTGGTCATAGAAGGAGACTGTAACTTGTTAAATTTTTGTGTATTTGCCACATGCTATTTTTATGTCAATAGATTCTCTTCTGTATACTTAATGCTTTTTTGATACTCATGACAAGTGTAGTAACTCCACTGACTTGTGCATCTTAATATGTCACTTTTTCACAGAAATGCAAGTTTAAATACATTTTCTATGTGGAAGCTAGTGTTCAGTGTGCTTTTTAAATTATTTCTATCATTAGAAATCAGACTATGTTTGCTTTAACATCAATCTGATTCTGATTTCCCTCCCCTCCTTTCATGGATTGGTTCTAACACTTCTTTCTGTAGTTGTTTATAAACAAATGCATCTAGAAAGAGTTAAGAGGAGCTCTATGGAATGAAACAGAGAACGTAAAATATTTTTTTTTTTGTCAGAGAGCAGATGCATGTTAAAACATGCCCTAAGGATGTTTTCATGGATATAAAGCAGAAGCAGAAAAATAACTGATTTTAAAATAACACAGTAAGAGATTTGTTCTGTCTGTGATCTTAATTTCACTACATAACTCTTTAGTCTCCTTGGCATAAAACAAAGGCTAAAGACAAAAGAGCAAGTAAAGAGATTTTTAATTGTAATTAAAAGTTGTACCTAGGATTTAAATAATGAATTTAAATTTTTTTACATGTACTTTTACTTGTGGAAGGTTTCTTTCTAACTCAGTGATAACTTAAAAATTGTAGATCTATAGCTAAACTCTGTTTCGCCCAAGGTTTGCTGAGGGAACCTGAATAAGTATATATTTATTTTGGTTTTTTTAAAAAAAAAAAAAGAAAGAAACCTTTACGAAATATTTGTGTAGACTATTTCTCATTTTTCTGCAGAAAATGCTATTCTTCTGTTGAAGTACTAAATCAGTGTTCAGAATTTTATTTCTAGTAGTATAGCCTACTAATTTGGAGTAGACTGTTTGTTACAGTTCTGTTTGTCTTTGAAGAAAGTCAAATGTATATTGCTTGAACATAAAATACTTGTTCAAACTGCTTTACTGGATTAGGCAGTAATATGAGCCTGAAATTAAATAAGAGAAGGAAAGTTTTGTTCTCTGTCAACTTTGCCTTTCTCTCCAACTGTGATGAGGTTGGAAGTGTCATGGTTGCCTAATGTTTTGGTTTTGTGCATTGTTCCCAAAACTTGCTACAAACAGCTAAAACAACTAACATTAATGCTTTTACTTTTCCAGAATTCCTTTAATGTCTTATGGAGCTGAAGCTGAGACCTTTCTTCTCACTTCTACTACAGTAGCAGGGACAATTCTTCCAACAAATATCAGGCCTTTGGAAAACTTTGGTAAACTTTTTTTTTGTAAGTTTTATTTATAGCTCATGTGGAGTATTGTTAAAATATGATTCTTGGAAATTAAAGCGGAGTATATAGTTACAGTTAACAAAAAAAAAACCCTGTTTTGATGCAGTTTGGTACGATTTCAAAACCAGCTGGTTTATTTCTGAAATGAGAATACAGAAGATGAACCAGCCACCCCAAAACTGGCATAACTGTTCTTCATTTGAAGATTAAAATAATAAGTATTAATTCCATTTCTAAATTCAACACTTTCTTTCATGTTACAAATTCTTTTCCTATTGTTCAAGGATAAATCTCATTTTGATACATTATGAATGGCTTGACATATTTCAGTGGTATATTGTGCAGTGTGAAGAACAAACTATTTCCTGACAGAGAAGAGGAGTAGTCAGGAAACAGTGCAGTATATGGATCTCTTTCAGTATGCCTACAAGCTCTACGGGGCAAAAGCTTGCAAAAGTGCTTGAGCTCCAGGATCTGGCAGGAATTTAGCAGAAGACAAAGACATGGAAAGAATTGCCTTCCTCCAGTTGCTTTAACAGCTTGTCTCTCCATGCTCGGCAAGAATGTAGTTTTTCCTTCCAACAGGCTGCACAAGTTCAAAGAAGTGAAAACAAAGGAGTGCTCTTTTTTAAGGCTAGAGATAATACCTTCTTTGAATTGGCAATTATACTACTTTCACTTGACTAGTAGGCAAAGAGATAGGAGAGATTTGGGTCTCTTGGCTTACAAAAATTGTGTGGAAGTAAGTGAATTGCTGGAGTTAAGTAGTAGAAGGATCATGAAAAAGTTGCTTTATTCATTCATATTCCTCATTCTTGTTTAAGGTACTTATTTCACCTCTGCATTCCCCAGTGAAAAATGGATAGGTTGCTTCCTGAGGCCTCTGATGTTTGGCAGTGCAATTTAACTGATCCTTAACCATTTCTGCTTCTAGTAGTAATGAGTATACATGCTAGCTCATATCTCTTGACTTCCCTTCACCTTTCTACTTACACAGTCAGACTTCTTTGTTAATATGCACCAGAAGCATTAAAAAAAAAAAAGAAAAGAAAAAGAAAAACCAGTTTTTTCTCTCATCAGAAATATGAACAATATTTAAATAAGCTCCAAATTGTTTTTCAACATTAGACTATTTAGAACATGTGAGTAACTGCTGTTGATAATATCAGCAACTGATCTACAAATACTGATAGCGTTGTCAACTCCTAAGGCAGAACATGGAACTAAATCCCTTAATCTATCTTTTTGGGAGAGGCAGGAGATTTTCAGTTTGAGTCTTGACAGCAAAAGAAAAGGAAAATATTTTTTTCAGATATTTTTGTTTTAAAATTTATATTTAGAACAGAATTTTCTCATTTGTTGTCGTGATTAGAACTTTGATACCTTTAATATAAGCATTCCACTTCCTCTCTTAAAGGTGTGATTTTTGAAACGTTAAATTATTGAGCTAACAAGACACAGCAAATAAATTCTTAAGTTATTTTTGTATGTTTCCATATGTTCTTGCCAACTAAAGTTCAGATGTTTAATGTAACATATTACTTATACTGTGGACAAAGTGGAAGACAGTCATCAAGATTGAATCTTAAAACATTGTAGTATGTTGACATTAAAGTTTTAAGTTATCTTCAAGTTTGACTTAAAAACTTCCTACTGATAAGAAGCATGCAGGAAGTAAGACACAGAGTCTTCGAATTTCCTAGTGAAACTAGGGGATGTTGTATGTGAAGATGTCCCTTGAGGATTTTGGTCACATTCTGTTGAGTTGAGTGTTCCTTCCCTGTTCAGTTTTTATATAGCAACTGAGGAAAAGACATTCACAAAAAAAGGTAAGGACAAAAGCAAGGAGAAACCTAACCTGAATAGTGTTAGAGATGCATGGCAAATATATATAAAGGAGACGGGAGCAAGGCCTTCTCTTACAGAGAAGAAAGAGATGAAGGAAAAGGCAGAAGATGGAGAAAACGGGGGGGCACTGGGATTTTCTGCAAAGGTGGAAAACAGGAGAAAAATGAAGAAAATACTGAAAATAGATGCATACACAAAAGAAGCAAACTGGATCTTGTGATTCTTACTTAATTGTGTCTGAAAGATAGTCATATAAGATTTTTCTTTTTTTTTTTTTTTTTTTTTTTTTCCTCCAATTTTTACACATCCCACCCCATCTCTTGGTCATATCTAAAGTGTACAGTTTTGCATCAGAGTAGTAGTTCACAGTTGCTTCCAGAGTTGTGCAAGGAGACATACAAATATCAACTATGGTCATGTAACTGTACTGCCTGAATCTTCCCTGTAGCTGCTGCAGGTTTTTTTAGATTCTCTTACCATTATATAGTCTTTTTACTAATTTGACCTGAAAATGCATTGGTGAATCTACAAATACCATTATGATTTAGGCTGGCATTATGCAGTTCTGGCATTATGCACGATTAAAATATTTTTAAATAAAGATTCAGTGAACTGAAATGCCTTGTATTTGGTCCAAGTCCAAAGCTTGCGAAGCTTGTCTGTTAAAATTTTACAAGTAGTAAGGAATGCAGAAAAGAGGCTTGTGTTTCACAAGTAGACTTTGAACGTGCCACAAAAATAACTTGCCTTTTAATTCTGTCAGGATTCCCGTGTTCCATTTGTATTCTGAATTTTTATTATTGCAGGGTGATTTTTTTCCCATTGAAGAAAATCATCACAGATGTTATATGTCATTACAAATTTTTAATATCTGACTTTTTTTCCTGGCTATTGTAATAGGTTTGAAGATGTAGTTAGTCGGAGACAGCCACATGTGGCTGAATAACTGCTGGTTAACCACTGTGAAGTCACTTTCTAACAAAATTACTAGGGAGACTGTTACAGTAGATACCTCAAATAGTGCCAGTCACCTAAAACTCCTTTGGAACTTCTTTACCACATTCTCTTTTAAATGTATGGTACCTTCTATACAATTGATACCATTGGTTTTCATTATCTTAAGTGATAATTTGATCCGTGGACATTGGAAAACCACAACTAGGTTTTTTTTCATGTTCAGGCAAATTATTGCATGTTTTTGATTCTGCTAACATAGTAGTAAGTGATAGAGGATTTTGTGCTGTTACATACTTGTCTTATTCCTATCTTATTTTTATTTAACTTGTTTAAGAATACATTAAACATATTTTAGTGCAGTAAAAGCATGGGAAATAACAACATTATTCAGAGAGTTAGAATCAAGAGTTTGTGTGATGTGATAAATACATTGCAAAATCCATAGAAATTAATCTTTCTTACCAAGTTCCTACTATTTGTGTATGAAAATGAAGCTGTAGAAAGAACTAATTTAAACACCAAATTCTTTATGCTTTCTGAAGTCTATGCGAAGTATGAAACAAATTAATGGACTTCTCAAGAAATTAATTTAGTTTTGAAGTGAGTATTACATTAAAGTATATTTACTTATCATCAATCTTTAATCCTGAGCTGTCCCTCATAAGCTTTTGTATGTATCAAGAGTACATTCTGTTCCCTTTGCAGTGAATATAACCCTTGGCTTCCCTACAAAGACTTTTGTCAAATTGTGGATTGCATGAAATAAATGAATACAGTATCAAAACAAGAACTCCTGTGCTGCTATGTGCAACTTATGGTCACTCTTCTTACAGCTTTAGGTTTTTTTATGCACCCTAGGCTGCCCCAGAACTTGCACTCCTCATTCAGTTCGTTAAGTGCTGCTGGCACCCAGGGGGCCTTGTGGCAGAGTTTAAGTCCAGTTTGCCGTGGAGCACGCAGGGTCTGTCTTGTAATTGGTGAATGAGTTTGCACTGTCTGATATTCGATTTTGTAGAGAGGTATGCTGTCATTGCTGATTCTGATCTGCTGCTTCCCATGTGATCATCCATTGACAGCCATTTAAAAATGTCACTTCCTGTAGTATTGAGCTTCACTTGTGCAGTATTGAGGCTTCACTGCCAACAGGCCTGCATTTTAGAATGACAGGAACTGCTATATGCTAACAATGTCATGTGGTTAATTTGTTACTTCTCTAACAGCTTAAACGCTAACTGTCTTTGAACGGCAATATCAACAGCAGTTTCATTGTGAATGCCATTACTGTTCATGTAGCTATGCCAGCACTGCTTCTAAAATGTGTGTTTAGATGTCACTTTGTTAGCTTGATTCTGTTATTTAAAGAAGTCGTCTGCACTGAAAAAAAAATAATTTAAATTTATCTACTTAAGCTATGGCAGCATTCATAGTAAATCTTACATTGTATTGTTTGAGGATATCTGTTAGACCGGAGAAGGTCATTTTATGTTCTTAACCATGTTTGGATAAATGGTTATTATCAAACTTTAATGTATTCTGCTTTTATTAGAATCTTTAGGCAAAGGATATGCTGTTGCATGTACCCAAGAAGGAGATGAGAAAAAGCAAGCTTCTGGTTCATCTGGCACTAGAGGAACTAGAAGGAAATCGGTTAATACTACTCCTAGAAGAAGGTCTGCACGAAACAGCAAAAATGAGACTTTGGGTCAATCTCGGAGCTCACCTCGGTCAAGCAGTTCTGCGTGCGGTGCCCCTGATGGCAATAACCCATCTCTGAATAGATCTCCTTCAGAATCAGAGAAGGCTCCTCCAAAACGAAAGTCTAAAAGAATAGTTAAACAACAAACACCTGTGGTTAAAAAGAGATTGAGAAGTTCTGCACGTTTTGAAAAATCGCCCAGTGATTCAGTGGAAGATGATGACATTGCTGAGTCTGAAGCAGTTCTAACATTAGATAAAGACCAGCAGTCAGATAATGAAAGCAATAATGCAAACCTTCCACAGAAAAATAATGCAGAAACAGAATCTGCGAATGGATTGGAAAGCTGTAGTGAACATGCAGAAATTGAGGGAGCTACAGGAGAATGTGACAAAGATGAAGATACTTCAGGCAATGCGGATGTAAGTTTTTCTGTCCAAGAGCCTCCAGTACTAACTTTAGGAGGCAAAAGTCAGGAATTTGAAGTAAAAGGTGTTGCTGAAAAAAAAATAGATCTTGAGAATCAGGACATCTGTGAAAATACTCTTGAACAAATGGAAACAGTAGCTAATCCCGGAGATGAAGTATGTGACCTTGCAACTTTTGAAAAAGTAGATCAGACATTGTGTAGTCCTCAAAATCAATTGATGGAGAATGTAGAAACTTTGACAAAAATAGATCAAACCGTAACTAGTCCAGAAAATGAATTGTTGGAATATCCAGAACCTTTGGGAAAAGATCAGCCATTAGAAAGCCCCAGAAACGAATTGCCTGAGCATCCAGAAGCCATAGAAATAGATGATTCTGAGGCTGAAGAAAAAACAGTAGTAGACACTGCAAGTACAAATATTGAAAACTTAAAAACTGTTCAAGATGAAGAACCAGTTACATTAATACACAATATTTCTATGGACAGTATGTCAGAACAATCCTTAAAAGAGAACGCCATACCAGACAGTGAAGAGGGTAGAACTTCAGAGTCACCCCAGGTAAATGCTGAACATAAGCATTTCGGTGAAGATAACAATGAAATGATACCAATGGATTGTGACTCATTTTGCAGTGACCAGAATGAACCTCAGATTGAGCAGTTACCACCAGTTGAAAGTACAGAGCAAGGAGAAGTGAACTTACAGTGTGATGCGGGAAACTGTACATCAGTTTCAGGACTTTCTGATGAAAAAAGTGAAACTATTCCTCAAGAAAGAGAGTGCCAGTCAGAAATCAAAAAAGATAAAAAAACTCGAACTAGAAGGTCTAGGTTTCACTCTCCGTCAACAACTTGGTCTCCTTCTAGGAGAGAGGGCAGGAAATCTCAATCACCATCCCCTAAGAGGGAGATGACCAGAGACAGGAGCTCACGATCACCCAAGAAGGAAACTGTAAGGGAGGGAAGGAGATCTTTCTCTTGTTCTCCAAAGAGAGACACACTCAAAGATGAGAAAAAACCACCATCTCGGTCTCCCAAAAGGGAAACTGTCAGGGAAAGCAGGAGATCATCTTCTCGGTCAAGAACTAAGGATTCATCTCCAAGGCAAAAATCTAGATCTCGAAGCAGTGATAGAGATAGTCAAAGAAGAGATCGTGACAGAGAAAGAAGAAATAGGAGATGGTCTAGGTCACGGTCACGGTCTAGGTCACGGTCACGGTCTAGGTCACGGTCACGATCTAGGACAAGAAGTAAAGGTTCTTCATTCTCTAGAAATGAGAGGGACAGTCATTCACCTCGATGGAAAGAAAGGTGGGCAAATGACAGCTGGAGGAGTCCCAGAGGAAATGATCGATACAGAAGAAGTGATCAAGAGAAACAGAATGAAAGTCTTAAAAAAGAGGACAATACAGAAAAAAACAATGACAATCAATGTTCTTCAGACAAGCAGAGGAATGATTGTCCGGATTGGGTAATGGAAAGGATAAACTCTGTTCCTGAAGTTAGGAACAGAGAGAGAGATAAACCACATTGGGAAGACGGCAGGCATGATAATTCAGGACACTCTTGGAATAAAAACTTTGGTTCAGGTTGGATTCCAAATAGAGGGAGAGGTCAGCGTGGCCGAGGTGGGCGTGGAAGAGGTGGTTTCATGTATGGAGACCAGAGTGAAAATCACTGGCAAAATAGAAAACCTCTCTCAGGGAACTCAAATGGTTCTGGGAATGAAACTTCAAGGTTCCCAGAACATCAGCCATACAAGCGTAAGAATGAACAAGATTATTCTTTCGATACGCCTGCTGACAGATCTGGGTGGACATCTGCATCCAGCTGGGCTGTAAGAAAGACTTTACCTGCTGATGTGCAGAATTATTATTCAAGAAGAGGACGCAATTCATCAAGCCCACAGTCTGGATGGGGAATGAGACAAGAAGAGGAGACACCTGAACAAGGTATTCATAGTTTTGAAACATAAAAGCTTAGTCAGAGCTGCAGTGGCTGAGTAAAATCCTAGTCAAGTTGACCTATCTCGAGTTGATTAGTTCTTCAAAATAATTCAGGGTGAATCTATAGTGTTTTTGCAATATGGAGGTTCGTAGGCATGGAGTCTGGGGATTTCTTGTGTTTTGATGGTGTTTTGATGGCTTTTTGGTTTTGCTTAAAGTTAGACATAATTTAAGGACTACGCATCTGAAGAATGCTACTTAAGTAAATCGCTTTCGTTGAAGAGAAATCATATCTTCTTCATGGTTAGTTTTAGCATCTGCACACCTTTTAAAAAGGGTAATTTTTTCAAGGAGATTTGCATGTGCCTGTGCAGACCCACACAGTAGATTCCTAGAGATGACAAATCATTATGTTGATGTTTATCTTGCTTCTAAATAAGCATTTTCCTCTCTATATATGTTTAAAAAATCTAGGGAGATTTATAAATGCTTTTACTGTACTTCAGCATTAAAATTCCTCTAAAGCCTCAATAGAAGTCTAATATTTTTGAGTATTTTATATCTAAAAGGTAACTGCCCTGACAGAAATAAACCTTTTGTAGAAAGTGAGTTAACTGTGGATGAGATTGATTCTGAATATCTAGGAAGTCATCCACAGATTAATAATGCTCTGAAGTAAAAGATAGATGTGAATTGTACTTAAAAACTGTAAAATCCAGTTCTGAAGGTGACCACACTTGCGCTTTCCCATTGTCTCTCTGTTTTGTCTTTCATTTTTATCCGTTTTCATCCTACATGCTAGCAGTTTTCTCCCTCTTTTCAGAGACAACTGCATCAGTGGCTTCTTAGTCTTGAGGCAGCTTTGTCAACCTTCGGTCTGCCTTCTTTGCTGCAGGCAAAATTTATCAAATCTTTAATTGAAAGTATTGTGTGATTTGCAGACTTTATTTCACATAGTTCAGGAACAATCACACTGTTATATTAACTTTTGGAACGTGAATTCAGCTGAGAATAGTACAGTGATCTCTTAAAACTGGATAAACCAGGCTAGGTTGGCATCGTGATATGGTCCTGGGCTGACCTTGCTTGAGCAAGGGGGGTTGAACTAGGTGGTCTCAATAGGTCCCTTCTAACCTCAGTGATTTTGTTATCCCGTGATCTTTAAAAAAATGTGATTTGGGGTGAAGCATAAGGGTTTAAATCCCAATCCCTGTAAATTAGGTGACAGGGTTCCTCAAGAAAGGGATCCTAAGGGAAGGACATCTGAATTATAACCCATCAACCGTTTTTCAGAACTAATTTCTTGACTTTTGGAAGGTTTGCTGCTTGTATCTAGACTTTAACTTTTTGGCTTCTGTTGGAGATAGAGTAAAGTAATTTTTTAAAGAAGTGCAACGCCAAGAAGTTATTTTTACTTCTAGACTTTACCTGTTGTACCGTTACAGGGTTTTTGAACAACTCTTTCTGAATATGAACATCTTTGAAATTGGTTGAGGATGATTTATTATTCAATGAGAAAAAACCAAAGTATTTCTATAGTTATCAGAAATGGCTGCAGTGAGCATGTGTGAATCAGGCAAAGGGGAGCAGAGCATTGCATATGTGAAAACGTATGACTAACCTGCTGTAATTGCAGAAGCTGGATAAGTTATATTGTCTTCCTGCTCTTTGGGGGAGAATTACTGTTTTACTGTGATGAAATAATTTATTAGCTGTGCTATGGGAACAAGTAGAGAAAATAGAAATTCAAAATGCAGGCTTCCATAGTAACCTGAACTTTTTAAACTCAGAAACTAGCATTTGGCTCCATGATGTGTCTGGTGATGAGTGCTCTGTAATAATGTAATGCAATATCTTTAAAATATTCAGATTATAGAAAGCTTTTTGATATTCCATACTTCATGAAGAGTTTAGACACCTGGCTCCCCTTTTGCTTTATAAAGTACGGATTTTCTACTTCATACACTGTTTTTTCTTTTAATAGATCCAAACCTCAAAGACCAAGGCAACCAGCAAAGTGATGGTTCTCAGTTACCAATAAATATGATGCAGCAACAAATGAATGTAATGCCACAAGTGAATGCACAGCATCAACCTATGAATATCTTTCCGTATCCAGTGGGTGTCCATCCTCCCATGATGAATATGCAACGAAATCCTTTCAACATCCACCCTCCAATGCCCATGCATCTCCCTACTGGAGTGCCTCTCATACAGGTAGCTGCTCCCACAAATTTGTCTCAGGGATTACCTCCGCCTCCACCTCCACCCCCACCATCTCAACAAGTCAACTACATTGCTTCACAGCAAGATGGAAAACAATTGCAGGTATGCTTTATCAGAAGCCATGGGAAGGGCAGTATTGAAGTAATATCAGTTAAGGGTTTCTTATACTGAATACCATAGTCTTGATAAATTTATACTTGCAGTTTCTTTCTCTCTTGCCTGTCGTCTTCCACCCCACACCAAATTTAAAGTGGAAGTATCCATGAGGATATGGGTTGTTGTGGGGCTATAGCTTTTAAATAATAATAATACGTAACACCGTAACTGGGTCTTTGTGGTAACGAGGTGTTCCAGTGGGTAATGGATCACTGAAAAATTTCATCAACCATTGTCCATTACCTTTTTCTTCTTAGAAGTGACCTGTTTCCAAAACTAAGTTTTCTCTTTCAAAACCTAATTTTTAAGCTTTAGGAAAAGCTTGAATCCCCTTTCAGCAGTGTGTAGGAAGTGACCTCAACCTCTTTGCAGTTCTCATCCCATGGGGTGTATCAGCAGAGGAAAATTATCAAGTCCTGCACGCACCCGTTTGTTGCACACTTCCATTTTCCAGCTGTCACTATCTCAGCAGCTTTGCCACACACACGCATTTTCTGTTCTGTTAATCTTTTGAGCCTTTTTGTTAATGATTTGCAAGCTTTCTTTGGTATGTTTTACTTCCCACTTCTTGCCTGATTCTCCTGTTTTTGCATGCCCTGTTAGGAGACCTAACTCCCACTTAATTTCTCCAGTTTCAAGTTGTGCTTGGGGCAGGTCAGACCATCTTTTTGTGCATTTCAAGATACTTAAAACAACCTTTGTGTATGTGAGCTCCTCCTGTAGCCAGCTGTTTATGTTAAGAGCTTTTGTATCAGGGAAAGGAATATGAACAATTTCCAGGAGAATGCATGGCCCTGCAAGGAGATGTAACACTGCATCTGTGATGTAAAAAAGGGCTCTTCAGGGTTTGACTGAGGTTTGTGCTTTTCTTTTGTTGCAGGCTCCCTGCTCTAACCTAAAATGCTTTCCTCTGCATTGTAGGCTGAAAAAGTGATGTTCTAGAAAAATAATTTCTAACCCTCTGTTTTCATACATCATCTCTAAAGATTTGAAGCGAACTGATAAATGACCTACATTCTTTTCACTTTCAACTGCTGTTCATTCATATTCATTGACTTAGTACAAAAGGAGTTAAGTTCTATGGGAAATATTGAGAGGAGTTACAGGCCATATGAAGTACTTTAATACTTTGCAACGTAAAACAGTAAGGTACTATTGGAACTTAAATGCTGGTAGATTGCTTGTTGATTTGATTAATGCCTACTGTCTGTAATTGAAATATTTTCACAATTGGAAATTCAATAGGTTTAACCTCTCAAAATGTAAAAAGTAAGAACATGGGCTACAAAATTCTGTGAAATGTGGTATCTAGTGCAGCAATAAATACTTTTCTATAAAGATTGTGTATTACTCCAAAATACAGTTATTTGTTAGTAAAGCCCCTGTTAGATTTGTTGCTCTTACCTGCTTTTGTGGAACGGTGTCCATGAACCTGAATGCTCTTGGGAGCTGCTGCTGCTTTTTCTTTGAGCTTTCGTTGAACAAGTCCTTGGTGGTACCACAATACAAATTACTGAATACTGCAGGACTCCACCTGTTGAAAGCAAGATGAAGAGAGCGCACTGTCAAGTGTTAGCATGCTGATTATAACGGCTCAATATCTGTGTCCTTTCCAAGGAGCTCAAATTCCTGCTTCATTATTTTCTATCTGGATAAATGCAGATGTGAAAAAGGTAACGGTGATTATCTGCAAAAAAGTAGCATTTAGGGTAGCCTGCCAGAAGCATGTTGGGAGGATGCGTTCTTGGCTTTTGCTAAAAGTGACCTCTGTCTGAGGTCTGAGAGCTACTTACTTTGGAACTGAGAAATTATCAACAGTGCCCATGGTATCATTTGGTGATGGTTTTGGAAATGTACAGAAAATGGCTTTTCGTGAAGAACAGATCCTGGTGCTTCAACCAGCGTTTCACCTCTAGCCTCGAGTAGACTTGTAGGTGCGTTTACATTTGAAATTCATTCGCAAGTTCAAGCTGATAACAAATACGAAAATAAATGTTTTCAAAGCAGTTTTGTGTGGTTTAAGGTAACGTTTTGTATGTACGGTTAGGTGCTGATTTTTTTAAAAAAATGTTAATCTGATTTACAAAGCAGGGCTTCCTATACTCTCCTGTGGCAAGTAGAGAGGTTCTGCAGCCATAAGCTTCCTTCCTCTTGTACTAACACCCTCCATGCCTGTTTGCAGGGTACTTTGTTTGCTTTATCACTGGGATCAGAGCCAGAATTTAGCAACCACGGTGGTGACATGGAGAATGCCTTACTTTTCAAGCTTCATTTTTTTTTCCTTTGAGTAGATCTGATATAATGCGCATACCTTCCATAATAACGGACAGTGTGGAAATTAGCTAATGAACCAAAGCGTGTAGTATTGATGCTCTTTCTATAGCTGTTGAGACTTCTAGAAAGGCACATTGTCATACTGAAGGATAATGTATTAACTACTGATAACTTTTTAAAACAGGGTATTTCAAATCCTGCTCATGTAAGTAATAACATGAGTGCTCCAGTCTTGCCAGCTCCAATGGCAGTCCTGGGAAATGTGGGAACAGTTCAGGGACCAAGTTCGGGTAATGCAACGTCGTCAAGTCACATCAAGAGCTCTAATGCAGCTGTAAAATTGGGAGAAAACAAAGCAAGTGTAACAGTGGAAGCCAGTGCAGATAGCTCGAAGAAGGACCAGGCAAGTTCAAAGTTCAGAGTATATTTATATATACCAGTTTATA